CTAATCCTTAGACAGCCACCACGAAACCCTAATCCATATTTGAGTGTTTTTGGAGCTTGGAAGGCCATTAGAGATCTTTTTGGTGTCGTGGATCCAATTTCCAAAGAAGTGAAGAGCAAAGCAAGGTGGAGGACTAGAGGAGAAGATATAGATCTGGGATTATTGCTGCATTTCTAACCATTTCAAAGAATAAATATCTAAACTTGGTGATTACCTCCTTAGATCTCTTAGATTGAGTTTTTGGACCATTTTGGTCCAAAGGTTGAAGCTTTGTGGTTCAATTCGATTTCTAGGACTTGGAGTTGCTACTCTCAGTTCTAAATGAGTCCCTAAGGCAGAAAGTTGCCATCTTGGATGTCCTAATGGGTTCATGCATGAGTTAAGACCATTTCCATGGAAGTTAGTTATCATATTTCAAGTTTGGGCTCTATTGGTGGGTTGTAAGCCACCAAGTGAGGGACTTTATGGTTTAAAACGTTGAAAAGGACTTGGATCTGTGTTTGTAGCTTCTGGGTTAGAGTATTAAGCACTTAATGGGAAGGTGACTTAACAGGGGAGTATGCTGAGCGTACATGCAGGTACGCCCAACATACGCACCATTTAGCTTGTACGCTTAGCGTACATAGGAGTATGCCCAGCGTACTCATCAGATTGGGCTTGACGAGTTTGGGCCATGTAGTGGATTTTGGGTCTTTGGGCCTTAGTGGGCCATCAGAAGTCAGATAATTTGGGCCAAGTATATTTTTGGGTATAGGGTAAGGCCCATTAGAGGGATTGGGCCAAATTTAGCAAATTGGGCCATTAGTGGGCCACTAGTGGGCTTGAGAAGCCTACCTAGTGTTGGGCCTTTTTATGTTATGGTTTTGGGCTTAGATATGGAGCAAGTTGGACTAGGGGTTAAAATGGTCATTTTACCCTAATGAGGATTATCGATTTGGACTAAGTGATATTTCAGTATTGGTAGCTCGGGGAGCCGAAGGAGCAGCAGTTCGGGGATTGCCAGCTAGCAGCCAGAGGAGTGTCAGCAGGTCTTCAGCAGTGCGAGGTGAGTCTCCTCACTGTGTGCATGGGTCTACGGCCACAATGCCGACCCATTATGTTTGTGTATAGTAGGAAGACCCGGGGGTTAGCCCTAGACATTTTATGATATGTGTTCCGTATTACGATCCGATGTCGGGCTAGGCCCGAGGTATGTTAGTATGCTAGAGGTCTTTGTGATTCTTGCATGTGTCGGTAGTATGTTTCCGGACTAGGGTCCGATGCCGGGGTAAGCCCGATGAATGTTATGTGTTGCATAGTAGTTTATACTTGTTGTCTTTGTGATACATGTATGTGCTTGGTAGGGAGGTGAGTGTGGGCAAGGTCCCGTATCTCACCACTAGCTGAGTACAGACGGGGTTCCGTATCTCATTATTTGCAGAGCAGGGGCGGGGCCCGGGATAGGAGAGAGGTGAGTGTGGGCGGGGGACCGTATCTCACCATTAGCAGGATCGTGGACGGGGTTCCATGACTCTTCAGTAGCAGGACAGGGGCGGGGCCCAAGATAGGCGAGGCCTTAGAACAGGAATACAATAGCGTATGTTTGGTTATGTGTTAGCATGTTTATATGATTGTATGTGTATGGCGGGCAAGGCCCAGAGACAGGCGGGGCCTAAGAGAGATATATATGTATACCGAGCGGGGCTCGATGCCAGGCGAGGCCTGATGCCGGGCGGGGCCCGATGCCGGAGTGAGTCCGATGCTGGGCAACCCGATGCAGTGGGCGGGGGCCCAATACGTGGTTATGTGTATGGTATGTGGTAGTATGGGGAACTCACTAAGCTTCATGCTTACGGTTTTCAGTTTTGGTTTCAGGTACTTCCGGTAGCGGAGGGAAGAGCTCGGGATGACTGCATCGCACACACCATGATGTTTTATCCTGAGATGTTTTACTCTGATTCGATATGTTTAGACAAGATACTATGATTAAATATGTTTTGAATGAATGGTTTGACAATTATGGTTTTTATTAAGGTTTTAAAATGAAATTTTTGGTCATGAATTTTGGGACGTTACACATTAAGTGCTTAATCCTTAAGCACTTATGTCCAAAATCCAGATCCAGGCTCAAAAAGATTTCCTTAACCATAAATTTTCCAACTTTATGGTCTAGCATGGTTATTAACACCTTAGCTCCACAAACCATAACTTATCTACCCATTAAGAAAAACTAGCTATTGCATGGGAAGAAACTAATGACCAATCACACATTTTTATGACTTAACACACCCTAAAACCCCTAAAAGGATAACTCAAAATGTCTTGGAGTATCTCCTACTCACAAAGACTAAGTTTGGTACAAAAAGGTGATAACTTTGAGCTAAAACTAGATCCATAAGAAAATTACACCATGTAACGCCTGCAGATTCGTGCTAGTCAATTTAGAGACAATAAGCGTCAAAAAAATACTTTTTGATAGAAGATTATTTAGAATAAATAATCTTAACCAAGTTATAGTATATGTCAGAAGGGTTCCGTACATATAAAGAACGCTGAAATTCGAGTTATAACGAAGAAGCTATGACCCGTCGAAGTTTTACGGCTAAACCGGCACGACACCGCGTAACGTAAAAAGTGATTTTTTGATAAATTAATTTTAGCCTTAGGGATCTAAACGAGAGTCGTAGAATACATTAAACCAAGAACGTACACAAAAAGAACGTCCAAATCTGACTTCGTATGAGGAAGTTATGACTTTTCTATGATTTAGCATAGCAGTGCACAGCCCGGAAATCGAATTTTAGATCGATCGATTTTTAGCTGACACAATCTAAAACGAGAATCGAAGATATCGTTAATAGGAGATCAACGATATAAATACAGCTGAAAACGGACGTCGGATGACAAAGTTATGAAATTTTAATGGACTTTATCTGTCTAAGCTTGTTAAAATATAACTTTAAAAATAAAGTCAAAATTAGCCGACAGAGTCTAAACAAAAGTTGTAGATTACATTGCCACCTACGCGTGGATATAAAGAATGTCAAAAATGGAGCTCGTATGCGAAAGTTACAGAATTTAGAAGTTGAGAATAGGTTGATGCGAAGACTGACACGTGGCCGAATCCTAGCCCTTGGTTTCTTCCCACGACGTCACATGCGGAGCTGACATCTGGCCCTCGTACGCGCAGCGTAGCACTTCAGATGCCCAACATTCTCCAAAGGTACACCCCGCGCACTCGCATTCCGCCCCTATAAATAGATGCGCGGATTCTCCATATTTCTCACACCATTCCTATTCTTTCTCTCTCAGTTACTTCTCTTAATCTCTCCCCTTCCCTAGAACTTCCCAAGTGTTACAGGCGAGTCCCGTAGCGCCAGAAGGCTCTGAGAAGAAGAGCTTTCGGCTCAGAAGTTCTGCCCGCACAGAGCCCAATTCTTCGCTAAACTCCATTGTAAGTGAGTTATGCTTACCCTACTTTAAGTATAACTTATGTTTAAGTTCATTATCGTTATTATGAACCTATAAGCAATATATGAGCTAAGTATTATAAAATACAAAGTGTTATTATAGGTTTATTGCTACTGTTCACCCACATACTTTTCATTTTGGGTCTAAAAGGTTCTTATTCTACTTTTTGAGGGTTATGGATCCTTACAATTTCAAATAGTGGGTTAAAAGAGGGAATATGACCCTTTATATCCGGTTGTAACCGGTTATGAGAGTTTCCATCGCCCATGTAAGATCCACGTAAGTTCCACGTAACCTCCAGGTTGGCATGTGGACCGACATTAAGAACGAGGGTTTCCATCGGCCACTTCACATAAATTCGTTCCCCTAATTTATCGCAAGAAGCATAAAACCTAGATCCTTCGATGATGGTTGATCCAATCGATGTCAACGCTGGAGTAGTCACGCTTTGGAGTAACCCAACTGAACCCATACCCAATTGTGGTTATCGTTACCCTGCGAAGAAGATAATGTCGTAGACGTTACCCAATCCACCTCGGAGGTTCTTCAACTGTCCATTTTTGATGGTAAGACATCTCACTTTAGTTGATTGTAACACTCTTCATACGAATGTGAATTGAATGATCGTATATTTGTTACAGCTGAATGAGGTAAAATGTAACTACTTTGATTGGATTGATCCTGAGCTTGAAGGACCGTATGCACACTGCAAGACCATACTCAATGAAATGAGAAGGGATGCGAATGGAGACACACACTGTTGTTCTGCAAGAATGGAGGCAAAAATGAAGGATATACAGATTATGATGATGGAGGAACAACAACTCTTTGCTACACATGTGTTGAAACTGACTAAACAAAGAGAGAAAGTTTACCTGAAGATCAAACTAGCAATACTCTTTGGGTTTGTTTGTGGATGTGGGTTAATGATGATGGTTAATAGTTTCATGTAGAAACTGTTGCAGTGTTGGTAGGATAAGGGTATGCATATCTTTTTGGATGCTTTTGTATAATCTTTTAGGAAGTGTATGGGCTGGTTTGTATAAGCTTTTGGATAGTGTGGATATCATAGATAAATATGGGTAGTGTATGGGAATCTTTTGCATATAACATGCACTATGGGTAGGGTCATAACAGTTGACACTTTTGTATGTATCTTATGTAACAACACATGGGTTAAGTTATCAATGGAAGTCTTTCCGAGTTTAAGTACTTTTAACAGATGTGCATACACGTATTGTCATTACTTTACCCTTACTTTATGTACTTTGAATACAAAATTGGTTCAATTATCAATACCAAGATTCCAATCATAATAAACAAATGAATGGAGCACAAACAGAAGCATATGGAAACACAGACACATAACTGGACCACATACTTAATTGATTCCATTAAAAAAGGTGCATTGGTCTTAACAAAGAATACATACAAAATACTTAAATTGTTCAAAAAGTACCCATAGTTGTGTTGGTGGTCATGGACCACAAAGGAAACAGCCAAAAGACTTAAGTTTTACATAACCTACATTAAATAAGACAAAAACCACATCATTCTAAATCCAAAGGTTTCCCAGATGTGCTCCCTGCTCCACTAAAATTCTTGCCCAGTTTCATCAAGATTATCCTCTCAGATTGCTTTCTTGCCCTATAAGATGGTCTTGCATTTGGTCTTGCAGGTGGTCTTCGAGATGGTCTACCAGGTGGTCTTGCAGATGTGGTTACAGGTGTAGCCTCTGCTTGCACTTCATGTTCTTCCTGGTTTTGGGTCATTTCTTCTTGCCCCTGCCCTTCACCCTGCACCCCATCTTGGATCTCAGTTTGCACTTCAGCTTGAACCTCTTCTTGGATCCTAGTTTGAACTCTAGCCTACAAAAATGTAGTAATGTAACCCGATTCATAATAGAAGGGTAAATAAACAAGTTTCAATGCTAGATTTGGCCATTTACCTTTTTACTCCTTCTAACATTAAGTTTGCTTCTTCCAGATGTACCCTCACTCACTTTCTTACATGTGGCCTTGTTATGCCCACTGTCTTTGCATACACTACACTTGATTCTCTTTCTAGCTCTAGACACTGTATGTGTTTGAGAAAGCCTTTTTGATGCATCCCTTCTTCTTTTTTCAGTTGGTCTACCAGACATCCTTCTATCTTTGGGTGGGAAAGGTGGAATGTATGTTGTCTCAGGCCACATGGAACTCCATTCATGCCTGCTATGTTGTAGTTATATGCCTTCTTGTACATTGCACCACTAAACATGTGGTCTACATATGACTCTACATTCGTGTTTAGGTAACATATGGCAGCTACTGAATGTACACAACCATATCCATTCAATTGCCATAATCTACAAGAACAAATTTTGCTTTCAAGGTCTACTGCAAAACCCTCTACACCACTTCTTACTTCAAATTGATTAAGACCACTTGCATACACTTGCCAATACCTTTGATATTTCTTCAAGTCATTTAACAACAACCTTATAGCAGGACACACTTGGTTGTCTTCCCATGCCATCCCCTTTGCTCTCATTCTGTACATCCTCTCCATCATGTAAATCCTTATTTCTTCCAGCATTGTTATGATAGGCTTTTTCCTAGCATCTACTATTATAGAATTGAAACTTTCAGACTGCCCATTCTCTACTGAGTCACAACCTAATTCATAATGTGAACTCGACCAAGTTTTAGGATCCTTATCCATCAAATATGTATATCCTTCTGGGCTTAACAGTTGAATTTCTTTCATATCTGATTGAAATGCGGCTTCTGTTGTTGCTTTACTTGCAGCCCAGAACATGTTCTCAAAGTGGGCTCCAGGAAACCTTTTCTTGAAGTTGGAAAAGATGTGTCTTGCACACTACCTGTGCTCAGCATAAGGCAGTAGATCCTTGACAACCTCTATTAGTCCCTACAATACAAATAATAAATTAACATCATGACACACAACAAGTTAATAACATGAAAACAAACAAAGTACCTTGTGTTGGTCAGACATCAGTGTCAAGCCATTTCCTCTGACTAGGTCAAGATCATCAATAAGTAAGTCCAAAAACCACTTCCAGTTCTCTTTGTTTTCTACATTTACAACACACCATGCAATAGGAAAAATATGGTTGTTGACATCCCTCCCTACAACATCAAGCAATTCTCCTTTACAAATTCCTTTGAGGAAGCATCCATCTAAACCTATTACTCTTCTGCAACCATCCATCCAACCTTTTTTTCAGTCCAGCAAAACAAACATAAAATTAACTGAAGTAGTTTGTACCATACGGCATTGGATTAGTATCCATTTTCATAGTGGAACCAGGGTTTAATCCTCTTATTTCCTCACCATAGGACCACAATATTGCATAGTGTTCCTTAATATCACCTTCAATTATGCTCAAAGCATATTTCTTTGCCCTCCTACATTGCCTAACACTAACATCTATTCTACATTTTGTCATAACCTCAAGTCTAAGTGGTATATGACTTAGTTTCTGCCTATGCATAATTTTCTTAGTGAAATGACTTCCAATCCAGACATAAGTTACAGTTGACACCATCTTCAAATTCCTAGCACAATTGTGATCAGTCTTTAATGATTTAATCTGGAAAGATTGTTCATCACCCATCCATGATGCCCAAAGTCTAAATGAACAAGCTCCATCACAACATAATACTAACACTCTTTTGGTATCATTTTTCTTGAAGCATAACTGATATCCACCAGCAACTGCATAGTTACATAACATATGCATCAACTATTTTGGATTCTCAAATCTCATTCCCAATATTGGTTTCTGTTTTTTCCATGGGATTTCCTTATTAAATATGCAATGTTCCTCATATTCAGGGTTATTCTCACATTCCTCATCAAAAGCAATGTCATCAGCTACTTGGTTGTGTTCTTGGTTGTGTTCTTGGTTGTGTTCCTGGCCTACTTCATCTTCATCATCCATGCACAACTTACTCAAAAAAACATCATTCCTAGTTTTGTTCATTTGATATTTCTCAACTAATTCATCCAAGTCCACTGAGAAATTTTCTATGTCTACCTCCTTTTCTTTTTGACCCTGAATAACTTATTCCATCTCATCACCACTAATTACTTCAATTTCACTTGACACAAACCAACCCTTTAATTCATCACCAAAGTGGTCAATGAATAATGAAGCTTTACCTCCTCTTATAGCGTATGAAACATGTATGAACTCGGCATACTCTGTATCACATTCAATTTTTCTAATACCATTACGCAAGGGTTTGTTTGGGTACAAAAAGTACATTTTTGCACAACGGTCACCCAAGAAACGTTCAAGAAATGTAACACAATCACTAAAATTCATACTAACAAAGCAGTGGTCTGTAAATAAGAATTTCTTACCTTCAGCATACTAGAATGGACATTGAGTAAAATACTCCCCCCCTCCGGTAGTTTAGCTCAAGTTTAAGATACCCATTTCATCACCTGCCATCTTTGAGGAAAAATGACACAGAAATCGGTTTGAATGAGGGTAAGTGAATCGATGGTTCCAATGGAACCCTAGACCAATGTCTGTAAATAAGAGGGAATCAGTTATGCTTGCACACGTGGACATCCACGTACTCATAAGCAACCGGTTAACCCAGTCAAAATTGTCATATTCCCTCTTTTAACCCATTATTTGAAAGTGTAGGAATCCATAAAGCTTAAAAATAGAATAAGGACATTTTAAACCCAAAATGAAAAGCACATGGGTGAACAGTAGCAATAAACCTATTATTATAATAACTTTTAACTACTTGCGGTACGGGGAATCTGGTTTGAAGGGTCGCATAGGGTTGTTGGATTTCAGAACAGCTTAAATGCCAAAATGGTCCTGGCCTCCGGTGTTTCATGTCTGGACCCTGTCTGTATATTGTAGTTGAAAAGTATTTTTTAACACTTATAAAACAATATCGCTCGTAAATCTAGATTAATAATTAGTCACAATAAATATTAGACTAAAATCTAGTGATAATGATACTAGGTTCCATCGAAGGAAAATAAAATTGTTAGAAGCGAACCGCTGCCCGAGTTTGGAGTCATCACTTTAACAAGTGAGTTCATATTCCCTTTCATAAACATGATTTTAATACAAGTATTTATTAAAGTATTAAATATATGTTTCTGTGTGAAATATTTGTTATTGCCTGAAATACGTGTTAAGAGCATATCTGATAATATATGATGATTTAGGATACATAACAAACCTAAATTAATTGAGATGGATATCGGGTAGTATCTCCTTATGAGTGTGGGTGAGATATACACGGAGGGTCGAACTTTAAGATTTTTCATTGATCGGAGAGCATATATTAGACATATTCATTTGTCCTTAGTCTGAGAGTATGGAGATGACATAGTTATTTGTCATTAATCCGGGAGCATGTATTAGACATAGTCAATTGTCCCTAGTCCGAGAGTATGTAATGGGCATAGTTATTTGTCATTGATCCGAGAGCATGGATTAGACATACTTGATCCGGGAGTATGGATTAGGCAAAGAGGTTAATTTTAGATCCAAGAGTATAGATCGTGTCGTTGTGAGGATCGACAGGGTGGGGTAAAATTGCTTATATGAGGTGAAATTGTATATATTGTGAGTTCTAAAACATATATATATATATATATATATATATATATATATATATAATATAACATTGTAGGATTGAAATCCCTATGTACTCACCAAGTTTCCCAACCTGACCCACTCAGTTTATTTGTATCACATATATCAATACGAGGGCACATTACACTGAGAGATTAAAGGAGATGTAACTTATTAGTGTAAATGAATGTAAGGTCTGTTTATGCTTATGTTTCTGTATTGACAATTACTTCCCAAAGTTTTAATATAAACAACATAAATTTCTTCGGAAATGCTTTGATAATATATTTATCATGTGTTCTAGGAACAAATTCTGCAACATATTTCTTTAAAATGGATACTCTGATTTTTAAATAAGCATAAATAAATTTTTTGAAATGACCGTGAATTTGGGGGTGTCACAGTTGGTATCAGAGCATTAGTTTAAGCGAACTAGGAATTTGTATGAAATTTCTAGACTTAAACTTAGAATGCTAAGCGATGATCGTGAGGAGTGTGTCTAATATATTTTAGGTAGTACACCTGAATAGACACAAGCACTAGCTTATTTAAGGAAGATGCCTAAATTGCTTTTATGTGCCAAATGATTTGTGATGTTTTATGATGCTATCGTTTGATCGAATCTATGGTATGTTGCCTACCGGATCTGGAAACTTTATCTGTCCAAATTTCTAAACGTTTCATTAAGGTATTAGAACTGACATGTAACTTTTTGAAATGATAAGGAGATTTATACGTCTATCGTAAATAAAGCTTTTCTATATTAATTCTTGTCACTAAACACCAAACATCTGATTCGGTATATAGATCGACATGGTGGGAACTCAAAGTGGATTCAGAAACGCTAATGGAAATGTTAATGCTAATCAGCGGTCTGTGATTGAGCGTGCACCAGAGGTAGTAGCTGCACCCGAGCCAATCACGATGGCAGGAGTCCAAGCAATGATACGCGCTATGATGGCCAAACAAAGGGAGGAGATGACGCAAATGTTGCTTAATAGGGATGAACCTACTGTACCCATTGTATAACTTGAACTGAACATTGAACAATCAGATAGTCAGACTGTCAGTCAAGCTGAGCCACGAGTGGTTAGAAGAAACCAACCCAATGAAGGAAATGATGGACGTGGATGTAAGTACAAGGATTTCATGGCATCCAAACCACCGAGTCTTTTTGGAAGCCCAACACCGGTGGAAGTCATGGATTGGATCTCCGAGATGGAGATGATGCTTGAAAGTTGCGACTGCAGTAACAAACAGAAGACCGCCCTCGCAGTAATATTGTTGAACATTGGGGTATTAAGCTGGTGGAAGCTACTAGTTTATACCATGACCAAAGGAGATGCTAGTA